AAAAAATTTTTTTTAAACACCAAAATCGCGGTTACTGGCACAGTGGGGTAAAAAAATACTCCGGTGTTTTTCAGTCGAATGCCGAAGCGCCACTGATGATTTTATATTCCTGCTATGTGTCGTACGAGAAACTTTCATCCCTCGACCATCGACAAATGGTATCACAGGTATCATTTTCAGGGTTTTTATATTTCAAAACTGCCTCTAACGTAGATCTGGGGTAATAAATTACCCACGGTGCCAGCTAAGGGTTAAAAATTACGTCATATTCTATTCGCGTATTCAATTCAATTCAATTCAATTCAATTCAAACAATCTTGCAATTCTTCTTCAAATTCTTTCATAGAATGGAATGCCGTAATAAACATCGTTAACTCTTGCGACCATTAGGATATGTACCTGTTAAAAAGCGACCTTCTGTAAGTCAATTCCACAATGAAAGATCAAAAAGTCTGACCTTAGTAAATCCTTGTAGGTTTCTTTTCATCCCCTCTTCCCTCCCGCACCCTCTCTCTTTTTCTCTCTCCTCCCCCTCTATCTCTTTCTCTCTGCTCTATTCCTCACCATGACGTTGCGTCGATCGGAAATTCAATTGGCGGTGCATTTACTGGCGACAGGGATATATCTGGGTCCGAAAGATCGTGCCGACATCCTGGGAGAACGAAAACGTCTACAAAGGCATCGCAGGATCTACTTACACCCCTTCTCTCACCCCAAGTCCTTTTTCGCCATCGCTCTTTCTTCCTCTAGACCGCTGACAACTTGACGCCGAAACCGACCGACTCGACGCGACGGTACCGAATATTCCAGATACGGTACGTATCGTCGAATCGAGCGGAGAACCGGACGGTGGGTTCGAGTCCCGGCGCTTGCAGGAAGCAATTTCGCAATTTTCCTCCTTGACTTTGTCATCTTCGCTTTGCTATTCGCCGCGGCGAAATAGAATTTTCCCAGGCCGAGACGGGAGCGAGCGAGCGAGCGAGCGCGAGCATGGTAGGGACAGCCTCGAGTGCAGCCACTACATCGACGTGTCTTCGAAGAATTTTCAGAATCGCTTCTCCCGTGAGACATCTCCCTTCGGCGTCTTAAGTGCGTCTGTATAGGTGTACGTCTATACATAGCGCGTATATTCGATAGGTTCATAAAAAAGCTTTCTTTCTTTTATAGTTTAAATAAAAGACCTCTAAAAATAGCACTGTATAGAATATGCAGAATGATTCTTTAGTGTTCTTAACAAAATTCGCTTTTTGAACAGTGTTTTCGAATTTATTGGATATTTAAAGTCTAGTCAAGGGACTGTTTAAATTATGTTGAAAGTTGCAGGTTCACATCACACTTCCCTCGGGGAGTTTCTTTATACGTGTGCTTTTGTCCATTTGTCCATTTTTGTCGACAACTTCCTCTCAGTTGAAGCGATATTATCGTGCCTCATTATCCTGATGGTAAACATTCTTGTATAAAAATATCCTTTGCAATGTTCCAAAAAATATATGTCTTGTTTAAATGATAATAATTACTTAGAGCGTTAATAAAATTAAATTTTTACAGCTTGGAATTTTTCTATGAATTTCAAAAAGCAAATTTCAAAGCGTATATACAGGATGATTTTTAACAAGCCGATGGCAACAACGTACACGTTGCGGCGTGATGTAGCTCGAGGGTATTACGTCTGCAATAGCACGAATAAGCTCTCAAAACATATGTCAATTCCTCAATGAAAGCTCAAAATTTTAATATACATAGAACTAAGCATGATTCTTGAAATGTCGACACCTAAATCTTTTTTAAGGCCTACAATCAACCTAATTTTTAGGATAACTAAATACATTGGAGATACTCGTGATAAGAGTATACTTCGTATATGTCGAAGGACGAATCTATTAGCGAACAGTTGCGGAGGATTTCGCGAAGAAATCAGCCTCTTACGTTTAAAGCTCCCTCTCCCTCCTTCTTTCTTTCCCATGAGGGTCGCGACACGTCTCTTTATTCGAACGGCACAAAGGTTTCGCGAAGATTACGGGTCCGCCGATCCTCCCACCTCCCGCCATCCTGTACGGATTTTTCGAAGGGGCATTATGGCGACACATAGTGAAGTAATATGGAAGGGCATCTCATCCCTGGACAATACCGCGCCTGAAAGTCTCTGAAGCTTTTTTTCTCCTTCCCTTTGCCTCCCCCCTCCCCCCCCTCTCTCTCTCTCTCTCTCTCTGCCGCTATCGGCGATAACTTCGATATCATAAAAGATTATGTAATAATCAAAAGATAGATCTAACTAAAAAGATCTATATAGATCGACTTACGAGCTGTTTGCGCCACCTTCTTGTTTAATTGTTTTCCTCCATCGCGCGAGTTGCGAGTTTTGGATCTAGTTCGTTCTATAGCGTTTCGAGCAAGCGTATTTACTCTTATGATTACGAATTGTAGAAGTACAGTGTATTAATTTTAATCGTTTTGTTCTTTTCCGAGTGCTTTGATGAACGACAGACATCTGGCTGCTCTTCTTTAGCTAAAGATTAAGTCAAATGAAAAATACAACGACGTTTCTCTAATTTGTTCATTTGGACTCTGTTGAATTTTACAAAAATAATGCTTTATAGTTTCAGTAACACGTTAACTCACAATATGTCATACAAAAGCTCGAAACTTCTCGATAAACGGAGGAAGGAAAATTAATGAATATACTGCTTGCGCGATTAAAAGTAGCGTATACTATAATTAAATATAAAAGTAGTTATAACTATTGAAAATGTCCGTCTTTTCACAAATTTCTTTAAACGAACGAAAGATATATTATAGCCTCGACAAATGTCAAAATATAAGTGAGGTTCGCACCGATCTGCGTCTATGCTTCTGACTTCACATTTGCATTCGCGTATAATTTTTTGGTTTCGTCGTATAAAAACCGATTAACTCGAACCAATGCAATAAGCTCTCGATCAGTGCCGACGTCGAGATCATGGTCCGTGCTGACTTCGTTTTCAGTACAAGAATCCGTGTCTGACATATTTGACATGTGAAAATAGCATCGATTTTTATTGCGCACGTTTCGTGTTACTGCTGAGCTCTCATTGGCTGAGAGTACAAAAGTAGCCGTAGGAAATGGATTTTAACTATTTCGCTTACGGACTTATTCTACGCTCTATTTCACCGAAAAATCAGCTTACTCCGATGTGTAACTCCTTAATCTATTACTACTACTGCCCATTGTAGACGCCGTTTTACTCCGACGTGTTACTCCTTAATCTATTATTGCCACTGCCCTTTATAGACGCCGCTTAAAGCGTAACATCAATAGTAAGCGAAATGGTTAATTCCCATTTTCTACTGCTTACTGCTTTACTGCCAGCCAGTCAGAGACATGTACACATATTGAGACAAAACGTGTGCGAAAAATATGATTGCCGATACTATTATCACCGACGAGAGCTTAACTTTTTTCTTTTTAACATGCAATATTGTAGGCACAATATTTTATGCCATTTCAAAAATAAGATTACATAAGCCAGTTTAGTTGTGTTCAACATAATTTGTTTCAATAAAAATTATATTTATTGACAATATAATATTTATCGTTTGAACTGTCAAATGTGGCGGAAACATGTCAAACTATGAACTATCGAATAACTGTCGAGTTATTACTTCTACCGTTGTTCATACATGGGCGTCCGCAAGGGGGGGGGCAAGGAGGGACATTTGCCCCTCCCCCCCTGAAATCAAACAAGTATAAGAAAATTCAAAATTGGCTTTTTTATTTTTACAAATAATAAATATGTTTGTCAAATGTGAGAGAGCTAAAATACAACACAAGTACACAACGTTTGGACATTTGCTCCTCGCGGTGGTTCGTATTAAAAATTTGGATTATGCCCCCCTCTAGAAAAAATCCTGCGGATGCCCTTGCCGTTGTAGATAAGAAGGGAATCAATACTTTACATCCATTTATACTCTACTCCTTACTTATTACTGCTTACTTCCATTGTAGACGGACCTTTAGAAAGTAACTATGCAAGTCCATATCGTAAGGCGGACAGATCTACGATATATCTTGATCTTAAGGTTGACAATTATCGAATCCAATGTTACTTTATTGATTATTAATATATCGCAAAAAAGAAGTTGCCACGTATTACAGTACAATTATTTCGCGCCAGCAACCCCAGGAAATCTCTAAACGCCTTCCTCTAAATATCCTGACACTTCCCCGAAGTCTCTCGGTTCGTCTTCCTGGCATTTTCTCCAGGTCTCCTGATTCTTACGACTGTCTGTGATTTCGTTCAAAAATTGTTTCCTCGTCTTACAGCCGTTAATTACTTTTTTACCACTTTTCGCTATTATTGTTTTCGACATAAATTTCATGATGGCAAATACTTCATGCGACTTTGATTCTATGCCTCTATGAACATTTTGCAACCTGCAACAGATATAACAGCAAAGATGCTGTAATAAAAAAAATGACGGAAAAAGCTGATATTTTACAATAATTAGAAAAACATATTGCAATTAAATACTTTAAAAGTCTCGTTCATTAACAAATAAAAGATATTTTTTTTAATTTTTGGTAAGACGTATTGTATCAATAAAAATGGAATTGTTTTAGTTATTGTAAAATATTTCTATTGATTACAAAAAATAGTGCTCTTAATGATGCGATAATAAATAATTAATATAAATTAGATTATTTGATTTATTATATTGTTAATTTTATTGTATTGTTAATATGATTTAAATTATTAATTTAAGTCAATTCAAATTATACTAAAAAAATTTATAAAAATAAAAGGGCTAAGAAACTAAGGGTTTGTATCGCTATAAATAAAATTTAATAAACATTATAAATAAATAAGCAGTAAAATTTGTCAAACGTTTTGACCTTTAATGTAGTCATCAGTAGGTAGTCTTAAAATTACAAGATTACAAAATTAACTTTGACGCTGAATTTCAATTTACTTGGGTCGACATTGGTCAATATAGTAAAAACCATAATACAATTATAATTATATAATTTTTACGTTACCTTTATTAACATTTGAAAGAATCTGAAATTATGATTTTTCAATTACTTGTGCCATCTATAAGTGATGGTGACGTGTTGAGTAAATCCAAATTTGGAATTGATCTCGAAAATTTGATCTTTTTTCGTCAAAAAATTTACCACAAACAAATATTCTTTTACATCATATGTTCGTACGAGATGAAGTTTTCCCACTAAAAAGATATTTACTTCGGTCGTATAATAGAAAGAATTTAGGAGATGAGAACGTACAGAGATGAGAACATATTTAATTACCGCTTGTCTGGGACCAAAAGAGTGATTAAAAATGCTTTTGGAATATTTCTAAAGTTTTGACGGAATTTAAAAATCTTATCACAATATTATTAAAATTAATTTACTAACGTTGATTTAATTCTGAACAAAATTTGAATAAATAAAAAATAATATTTAAACAGACCTTAAGAATAAATAAGAAAGGCCAATGCATGGTCATACCGGGATCTTGGTGCTTCAATAATTTTATTATGTGATTTTACATACGTATTCTATAGCTTCGACAAACTGCGTGCCGTTACTTTCGGATTCAACACAACCCCCCCATGATTGAAACAGGACTTTATTATCACGTGTTAAATTGCTAATCAATTTAATAAGAACTTGATTCTAACTTGCATCTAATAAATCCCTCCTCCCCCGATTCCTGGCTAGGAACATAAGGTGATATTTTTTCGCAATAAACTTCTTTACAGATTCGTCGAGAATGGTTCGTATAGATGCAGGCTAGCATTTATTTGACGTCGCGGGGGAGGGGAGATTTATTAGATGCAAGTTAGCATCAAGTTTTTATTAAATTGATTAGCAATTTAATACGTGATAATACGGTGTTTCAATCATAGGAGGTTGCATTGAATCCGGAAGTAATGGCACGCAATTTTCCGAAGCTATAGGATAGAGGAGACCAAGGACAAAAGTAACATTTTGAATTTAAAGTCTTATAACAAATTAAATTATAATATTTACATTTAAAAAACCGATATTTTTAGATGTAGAATTTATTTAAATACAAATTTTCTTGTGTTTAATCTTGTAATGTAACTAGAAAAAACGTTATTACTGTTTAAACACTATGAGAAATACTGTTACAACTGACCTCACCCCCAGGGACGGATAGGTACGTAGAGGGAGACGATTGTATTATATTATTTATAGGTAAACATTTAGCTATTTATTAAGTTTTATGCAATACAATTATTTATAATCATATATATTAATGTTATATGGATATATAAAATATATATTTAATAAAATTAACTGTAATAAAATAAAAAAAAACAAAATTTATATAAAACCGTAAAAAAACTCTCTTTCTTTCTAATAAGTTGAAATAACATTGTTATTAACAAAAAACACTTAAATAAAACCAAACAGATCCAGAGACAATTGTAACGCTACAATTCGTCTCCACCCAGATAGCACACAGAGCCCAAAAGAATTCATTAGTATATTTAGTTTTATGTCATCAATTCTGAGTTCATTTTCAGGTCCA